CTATATTTCCATTGTGTGCAGATTGGAAATTAATGTGCTGAATTGTTAAATTTTTTCATCTTCCCAGTCCTTCAGTGTGAAGCCACCCAATTTTTCATAGCTGAAGTCAACATGGAGATGGCAAGAACTGCTGATGCTGGAGTCAGAGACAACACAGTGTGGAACTGGAGAAACACAGCAGGCCAGGCAGAATCAGAGGAGCAGGAATGTTGACATTTCAGATCGGGACCCTTCTTTAGAAACACCAACTGTCCTGCTCCTCTATTGCTGCCTGGCCTGCTGTGTTTCTCCAGTTCCACACTGTGTTGTCTGTGTCAACATGGAGATGGTTACTTTTCATTTAACCTGTTGACTGTGCCGCTGCTTTGTCGTCATTGACAGAAGCCACAATTCAGAGTAAAAACTGAAGTACACTGTAGAAAGGAGATATTGCTGAAATCTGCCATGGGAATTCATGGAGAGGACTCTGGGGCTGCTACCCGACAGCATCAGAAAACAGTGATTTTTTTTATTAATAATAATTGAAGAAGATAAGATTGTCACAATTCCTGAAACCCAACTAAGCCAGTGAACAGAGAGTTCGGAAGGAGTGGCCTCAAGGCTCGAGTTTTGCTTTCTTGCTAATTAAAATTCAGTGCAAATTCTTGGTAAGCTGTCCACATCAGTAATGTGAAGAAAGATGCTCTGTTTTGAGAATATTTTGTGGTGTCCAGTTTACAGGCTAGTTGGACACATGGTTAGATGGAATGACAGCAGCCTGAAAATGGTTTACTGTCATGTTTGGGCTGGCACCAACTCCCAAAGAGCTGATTATTGGGCAGCCAGGGCACTGCTTTAGGCCATAAGCCCTTTCAATGTGTTACTCTGAGACACAATAGAGTGTGTGCCTTGAAAAATTCTCAATCTGAAAATAAATCCTTTTTAAAAAATTTTGCATAGAATTCCAGAGGCACATAGTTAAAAGGGGGAATAGCACATTCATGATTAAGCTGATCTATTTAATCCATGAAACTACAAAGAAGGTTACAGTGCCATAAGAGCTCATTCCCCTTTGCTGCTTCCTTGTTACTGCATGTTGCATTTTGTGTAAAAGTCTTTTAAATAAATGCCCTTAGCCTTTCAGCTTTGCAGTATGTAATACTGAAATATTCATAGAAGATGCTTGAATTTATTTGTTTATTGAGCTAAGTCTGATGTCAGTTCTATGCTGCAGGCTTGAGCTTCACTTAGCTTCCATCAGATAGAGTAGAATCTTGTCTCCCTCAAACTATTTGTAATAAAATTCAGATTTCAGATGCCAACAGGCTATTGTGCAAACATGCTGTGCCATTCATTTCACTTAATTTTGGATTATACGTTGGAGTCAATATGACAACATAAATATCAGTCAAATATTCCAGAGAGTGTAGTACAGCCTTGTTAGGAAAGGTGACTGCACTGATTTGGTGTCAAACCTTTCTGGGCTGGAAGGGTAAAGCAATTACATGCGGAAAAGTCAACATTAATTCCTGTTTGATTTATCTTTTTTTTGCTCACTTCATTTAATTAACTTGTTCCAACTGCACTTACTCGCATCATTTCCCAGTCGACCAGAAATACAGGCATCTCCCGGGGCAACTTTGCAAAATGGCTGCCACTCTACATCTGAGTGACCCAGGTTTATTTGGCTGAATTTCCTGTAAGATGTTTACTGTTTCTCTGTTTGATTCCTCCCTGGCATGGCAGACAATAGTATTTGTATTTTAGAATAAAATATTAGACCACACAAGGATGTTGACAGTAATTCAAAGATCAGTTGGTAGGTGTACTGCTTAATGTGATTTTGAACTACACAGATCAGAAAGCTACAGATTTAACTGACAATGTGCGCTTAATTTGCTTGTCTACGTTAAGTAGCAGTTAGTGCACCGTAACTGGCTTCAGTTTCCCTGCAATACTGGGGGATAAATGGTATTGGTTTTCTGCTCCTAGTTGCCATCTGGTGGTCCTAGATGGAAAGTGCAGATGCTTGCAAGCTCAGCACTGATACATGAATTGGCAGGATGGCATCATTACCCAGCCTTGTGAAGACTAGTCACTTAAGTGAGGTACTGGTAGCAAATCAGCCTCTCTTGAATAAGAGAAAAATGAGAGGAAAGCAAGAAAGATGATTTAAAATCTGAAATTGTGTGTAGATGAATGAAAAGGCAAAGAGCCAGTGCAATGCACTTCTTCAGTGCATTATTGTCTTTTATCAATACTTGACCAACTTGCAGTACTCAAAGGGTTAAATAAGTCAGCTTGGTTAATAATATTCTGTGCAATTGCCTATGTTCTGCAATAGTTTTACTTAAACGGGATTCATACTGTCTAATTAGCATATTGAGCTGCGTTGTCTTTAATTATAAATGTGGTTCTTGAATAATCCATCTTCATATGCAAGAGTGATATTAGTAAGAGGAATGTTTTCTTCTGTGTATTTTTTTCTGACTTTCTTATTAATTACTTTAATTTGCTATTACTGCCATCAAGAATGTAGATTAGCAAAGTGTTCTCGCTGCAGACAATGCAACTGAGAGCAGGTAAAGTATGTTTGGGAAGATGCTGTCATTTTAGAATAAAATGAGGATAAATTTGAGTTCTCAGAAGATAGGAATGACTATTTTTATTTCTCTCCCACATATCATTTTCAGCATCAGGAGGTCGTTTTGAAAATCTGAAACTCCCTGCTCCCAAAAAGCTGCTTTTGGACTCCTGTGGCACACTGGTAGTGTCCCTACCTCTGGGTCAGAAGGTCCAAGTTCAAGGTTTACCTTCTCCAGAAGTGTGTCACAACACGTCTGAACAGGTTGCCTGTTTTAAAAATGCTGTTGAGATTTAAGTCAGTTGCCAAATTCAAATCAAGGTTGTTTGATTTTTTTTGACGGATCTCTATCTAATGATACAGAATCTTACCTTTATTCTTTCATGGAATGTGATCACTGTGGCCCAAGCCTAACTGGCCTTGAACTGAACAGGCCATTTCAGACTCAACCACATTTCTGTGGGTTAGGAATCACACATTGGCCAGAAGAGGTAAGGATGGTAGATGCCTTTCCTTGAGGGAATTAGTGAACCCAACATTTTATTAATGAGAGCTTCATGCTTGTCAATACTGAAACTCGCTTTCAGTTTCAGATTGATTAACTGAATATGAATTCCATCAATTGCCATAGGGTGGGGGGGAGGGGAGTGGGGTTTGATTTGAATCCTTGTCCTGAGACCATTAACCTGGATGACCAATCGCTGACATGATCACTAGAACATCATCTCCCTAGGATTTAGTCAAATGGCAGGAATCACTCAAGGCGCTAAGAAACAAAACTTGAAGGATCCCATTCAAACAGTGCTCAGTTCTGGTGATCCGTACTCCTGCCACAAAAAGGGTAGGAGCTTAGTTATGCAAGTAAATCAGAGCCCTGTGATTATTTTTGTTGTTATTGATGGCCCTCATTCAGGTGATCTAATCCATTATTAATGAATGCTCCATACCAGGACATGTTCAGCTAGAATGTAGACATTTGTTTGTCCTGTTGTGTCCAATTGGATCCCAAATTGTTCCAAATCTAACCACATAGTCATTCCATCAAAAAAGCCAGCTATATCCACCTTCATAGTATTCCCAATCCAACCCTATCTCATCTCGTCTGCTGAAACCCTCATCCATGCCTTTGATACCCCTTAGATTTGACTATTGCAATGATTTCCTGGGTGGCCTTCCTTCTTATATCCTACATAGACTTTAATTAGTTCAGACCTCTGTTGCCATGTCCAAAATGACACCAAACTGCATGTCCAGTTACCCATTTGCTCAGTATTCCACACTGGCTCTGGCTCTGGTCTGCCAACAGCTCAATTTTAAAAGTCTCCACCTTGTTTTGTTTTAATTGTTTTCCATGGCCTCACCCATTATATCTGTAACCTCCATCATCTCCATAGCAACTTCAAAATGGCTGCACCCTCCAATTCTGGTCTCTTGTTCATCGCTTGTTTTCATCAGTCTACTATTGGTGGTTGTGGCTCCAGCTGCCTTGAAACAAAGGTGACAATATTCCTCTTCAATATTTCTGCCCCATTATCCTTTATGGTGCTCCTTAAAATGCATCACATTGTCTATGTTTTTTTAAAATGTTTCCTCATGTTGCCATATATGACACAGTGTCAGTTTGTTTTGATAATGCTTCTTTAAAATGCCATGGGATGTTGTGTTCATTAAAAGTTCCATGTTAGGCTTGTCCAACTGGCAGACTGCCCATCGGTCCCACCTGGCCATAAGACCACAATAACAAGGGAGGAGAAGGAGGCCATTCAGCCCCTCAAGCCTGCAGAGCCATTCAATTGGATCATGGCTGATTCAACATTGCTCAATTCCACTTTCTTTCCTTTATCCTGTCACCCTGATTCCCCTATTGGTCAAGAATCTGTCTATATCAGCCTCAGTCTTAAACTCTGCCTCCACAGATCTCTGTAGCAAGAAATTCCAAAGAATTACAACTCTGATAGAAGAAATTCCCTCTCATCCCACTCTGAAATTGGCACCTCTTTCCTTTGAGGCTAGCCTTTTGGTCCTAAACTCTGCCATGAGATGAAACATCCTCTCAGCATTTACCCTATCAAGCCCCTTAAGAATCTTATATGTTTCAATGAGATCACCTCTCATTCTTCTAAAATCCAGAGAGTAGAGCCCCAACCTATTTAGTTTATGCTCATAAGGACAATCCCGCCATACCAGGGATCACCCTAGTGAACCTTCTCTGAACTGCCTCCAATGAAATGTTGTCCGTCCTTAAATATCAAATTCCACAGATTCACCACCTTCTTTGTGTGTGTGCGTGTGTGTGTTCCCTTCAGAACATAGAGTTTAGATGTAAGATTCATCCATTTTTTTAAATCTTGTATTGATAACTACATTGCAGACATCAGTTATGTGAATCTTACCAAGCAGTGGAATATTAATACATTTCTTCTTTGTGTTTTGACAGCACAAAGCCCAACTGCAGCTGATCCCTTGCAACAAGCATACGCTGGAGTGCAGCAATATGCAGGTCGTTAGTATTAACACTTTGTCTAGCTCTACTTTGAGTCATTTTTAAAACCTTCAATCTTTTCAAAAGTCTTCCAGATGTTAACTTTAATAGAAATTCTTTCTTTGTCTGTATATTTTTCCAAGTTATTCAATTTCCTAAATGATTTTAAGGTTGATATGTTGCATTGAACGTAAGTTTTCTTTCTGCTTGGAAAGACATATGCAAGATATATGTGAAACTAAAATGAAAATTAACTGTACAAAGCAAACTTTACAGGGTTCATTTCTTAGAAAATCTTATGCAGAAGCTACAGTAGCTGCATAGCAGTAGCCCAGAATGCCCAATTCAGGTTAGTTAGCTGTATCTGAGCCCCCATTGTTATTCAACAAAGAATCTTTCACCCAGATCTGAGATTTGGTTTAGTGAGTGAGGTCAGGAATACTAGATGATAGAATTTCCTACAGTTTAGCACTATTGCACGGGAATGACAGACAAAAGAGCTTACCCTGACGCATGTAATTTCATTTCTCAGATGTAAATTTATGAACCAATATTGATTATGGAGATATGCGTAGTCCTGCCACCTCATATTCTGAACTGAATAAAACAAGAGATGTGACAGTGTGGCTTAGTAATAGAGATTTGTTAGAAAGTGAAGTATAAATAGGATTCTTTAAAGAATTTTATACATGTCAACACATATTCTATTTACTGAAATATATAGCAACAAAAATAATGAAATATTATGTATTCTATGTCTATATTTTATGACCAATTTCATACATTTTGTGTACTAGCCATGGCTCAGTGGATAACAATCTCACATCTGAGTAGATTTTGTGGTGTTGAACCCTACTCCAGTATTAGAGCGCAAAGATCAATGCTGACAATTAAGTGTCGTATTGTAGGAGTGCTGCACTGTCAGAGTGCCATCTTTCAGATGAGCAATTAAACTGCAAAGCTGACATCTTTCTCAAATGGATGTAAAACATCCCATCGCACTATTTCAAAGAAGACACAAGAGGTGTCCCTGTATACTCGCCAATATTTATCCTGCATCAATATCACAAAAACACCTTAACTGATCATTGTCTCATTACTGTTTGCTGTGTGCAATATGTGATATAATAATACAATACAAAACAGCACAGGAATAGGCCTTTTGGCCCTCTAAGCCTGTGCCGATTCCTAATTCTTATTTAGACCCATTATTTATTGCCTATGCATGGTATCTATCCCTCTGTTTGCCTCCCGTTCACTTGTTTATTAAGATATGCCTTAAACGTTGCTAATGTGCTTGTTCCTACCACCTCCACTTACAGTGCATTCCAGGCACCCACTGTGGGAAAAATCATCCCTGCATGTATCCCCTAAACTTACCCCCTCTCACCTTGAATCTGTGTCCTCTTGTAGTTGATCATTCTACCCTGCAAAAAAGCCTCTGACTGTCCCCCCCTATCTATGCTTCTCATAATTTTGTAGATCTCTATCAGGTCACCCCTCAGCCTCTGTCTATCCAGTGAAAACAATCTAAGTTTATCCAACCTCTCTTCATAACTAAATCCAAAATGTATCCCCTCGCATTTGTCCAAATTAAACTCCATCTGTCATTTCTCTGCAATCTATACTGGCGTCAGGCTCACCGGCCTGTAATTACTTGGATTATCTCTGTTTCCCTTCTTAAACATAAGAGCAACATTGGCAATTCTCCAGTCCTCTGAAACCTGATCCAAGGTCAAAGAGGATGCAACTTGTTAAGACCCCAGCTATTTCCACCCTTGCCTCCCACAGTATCCTGGGATAGATCCTGCCTGGCCGAGGGGACTTGTCTACCTTAATGTATTTCAAGACACCCAACATTTCCTCCTTGATTATGTTGACCTACCTGAGAGTATTCACACATCTTTCCCTAACCTCATCCCTCATTCTTTGGTGAATACTGATGTAAAGTACTCAGTAAGGATCTCATCCATTTCCTCTGGCTCAACACATAACTTCCTTCCTTTATCCTTGAGGTGGCTTACTCTTTCCCTTGCTACCCTCTTATTCTTAATTTATGTAGAAAATGCCTTGGAATTCTCCTTAACGCTGCTGGTCAAAGACATTTCAGAACCCCTTTTAGCCTTCCTAACTCCCCATTTGAGCTCCTTCCTATTTTCTCTATATTCTTCAAGGACTTCATCTGTTTTTAGTTGCCTAGACCGAAGATATGCTTCATTTCTTTTATGGACTAAGCTGATAATTTCCCCTGTCATCCAAGGTTCCCGAATCCTGCCATTCCTGTCCTTCATTTTCATAGGAACATGCCTGTTCTGCATTCTAATCAATTGGTTCTTAAAAGACTCCTACATATCAGATGTGGATTTATCCTCAAACAGCCACTCCCAATCCACATTCTGCATTTCATGCCTAACTCGGTCATAGTTGGCCTTCCCCCAATTTAACACCTTCACCCGAGGTCCACTCTTGTCCTTATCCATAATTATCCGAAAACAAAGAGAATTATCGTCACTATTCCTACAATGCTCCCCTACTGAAACTTTGGTCACCTGGCTGGGCTCATTTCACATACCAGGCCCAGTACGGCCCCCTCCTACGTTGGACTATCCACATACTATATCAAAAATCCGTCCTGGACACACCTAACAACTTGCTCCCCATTCAAATCTCCAGCACTAAGGGAGTCCCAGTCAATATGAGGGAAGTTAAAATCACCAACCAGAACAACCTTATTATTTTCACATCTTTCTGGAATCATATTGGCTGCCATGTTTTCTGTATTACAGAAATGACTACATTTCAAAATGTTTCATTGACTGTAAAGTGTTTTAGAACAATCTGAGGTCATGAAATTTGTTTTGTAGGAAAGTCTTCCTTTTTGTAGCGTTTATGCTATTCCCTTGCTCTCTCCTGTCAGAGTAATAACACAAGAAATCCTGTAGAATTCCAGTATTTATTTTCATCCTACATTTAAATAACTTAATGTCAACGACACTAATATTAGCAGGACCATTGGTTTGAATTTTTATATAGCAGGCTAAATTTTCCATGCATTCACTGAACACTCCGCTCTAGAGCTCAAAATAATTGGCTACACTACTAACATGCAACTTTCATAATGTCAACACAACTTTTTTTTTGTTAATCAAAATCATAGAGTGGCTTAAAGTAATTTGTGGCACCAGAAACAACTATAGAGAAGGAGATAGTTTTGTTGGGCAAAGGAAAGCGCACTGTTCCTCAGAGTTATTTGTCAGAAAGCTGAAATGTCTAATAGGTATTTTTAGTTCATGCAATTGGTTTCTTGGACATAAAGAGAGCGCCAAAGAATTGAAGCAACAAAAAAGATATTTCATTCTTTATGTCTTTGATGTGGTTTGATATCACACTTATAATGCGGAAATATTTTCAGCTTGTTATCTGACCTTTCGGATATTAAATTGCTACTGTTTATTGCAATATATTTCCAAATGAGGAAAATGTTTCACAAACTCACTTTGGCAATAATTGAATCATTGCATGCATCCTGAATTGATCAATTTTAATTGCTTTCTAGATCAGCGTGAGAATGTTCTTAGTTATCTGTCCTAAGAATGATTGTATTAGTAAAGTTATACCGCAATTATTTTTCATTGCAGTGCAAGATTTACACCAAACATTAGGTGCACTTCAGAAGCACCTCATTGTCCATTTAGCACTCTCTGGTACACTTTTTTGATATCTATGCAGCAGATGGGTTGCAATGTAAAGAATATCAGAGTTCTTCATTTTGTTTTGTTGCAAAAAGGAGCGCATTACATCAAAAGTAATTATATTCCGAACAGTGTTGTAGAGAATGACAGATGTCCGTGAGAGAGATTCAGTTTTCGGAAATATGTGGTGCAGTATACTTTCCATTTTGTACCATTGCAGCTGTTTGGCGCCCAGTAATGATAAGGGCCACTAGAGGGAGAGAGATAGTAGGAACTGCAGATGCTGGGGAATCTGAGATAACAAGGTGTAGAGCTGGATGAACACAGCAGGCCAAGCAGCATCAGCCTTCCTGCTCCTCTGATGCTGCTTGGCCTGCTGTGTTCATCCAGCTCTACACCTTGTTATCTTAACTAGAGAGAGAGAGATGGGTCCTGAGATTCTACACCATTCACCTGATCTATAGCCAGGCAGATCATTCAGGGTCTGCTATCAACATGCTGTTCAGACAGCCAGGCAATTGAATGCTACAAATTAGGCTACAGAGAGTAACAGATCTTTATCCAAGAAGTGATAAACTAAAACCGAATTTCCTGTAACAATTTAGAATCAATCTTTTCCCATGTGGGGAATCATTTCGCTGGTGAATTTCTCATCACTCTATGATATCAAATACAGAGATCAAACAGATTCTTTGCAGAAATAAGATTGGTTTGTTTTTACTCTGTTTCTACCACAAGTTACTGCTTTATCTTTGATATGATAAGATTAAAGGTGTAAACATCAGTCCCAAATTATTAATGTCCCAGAGGCATCTTTATTCAAACTTAAAATGGTGCAAAAATCGTAATTAACCTAGGAATTATTGAACATTATTAATTCAGTTTCAGTACAGAACAAATCAACAGGCAAATAAAATCTTATTCAGGATAAACTCATTGACTAAGCACCAAATTAAACAGCACACTTCAGAAGAATTATGTGATGGTTGTCCAGGAATTATTACATCAATTACAATACTGAAAGCAGGAATAGGCAACATTTATTAACACATATAAATGCCAGGAATATACATATTAATAAAAGGTACGATGTATTAACTCTTTACATGGCAACATTATCAGAATGTGGTGAATTTAAAGTAAACTCAGATATTTAGCTGCAGCGGGTTGGACCTGTGCCTTCAGAGCAGCAGCATAGACCTCTCTATTTTGAGTCCAATCTCATTATCAGTATGCCACCATCTACGTTTCTTTGGACATCTGCTGTTTCTCACAATGAAAAAATACTTTTTTCCTTCTATTTCCGAGGTGGATGACCTCACAATTGCCTGCTTTGAAATCCATTTGTCACAGATTAACCCATTTCTTTCAATATCTCTTTGAAATTTTATGCTTCCTTACAGTACTCATATATCATTTTAGTAAAAAGCAATTGTTGGTTTAAATAGCAAAGGAAGGGACCAGCATAGCTTAATGGAAAGACTGTGAGGTTATGATGAATCTTGAGTACAGAGAACAAAGAGAAGTGAATGGCAGACCATAATAGAAAATACATTTTTGGGACAAGAATAAAAGGAAATAATTCACATACTCTACATGGGTTGAGGATGAGATTTAAGTTTAGTTAATAACTCTGGAATTGCAAACCATTCTTAATAATGGTAACCATGAAAGTATCATTGATTGTTGTAAAAACCCATCTGGTTCACTAAGGTCCCCTTTATGGATAGAATTCTGCTATCTGTACATGTTCCACCTACATGTGACTCCCCCATATCCACAACGGCATGGTTGATTGACCTTTGAAATGACTGTGCCAGTTGTACTAAACTGATCGACCAGTTTGAGGGGAATTAGAACCTTGCAACTGATGCCTACATCCCAACAAAAAGTATTGCCAGTTCATTTTAAATGATTTTCTCAGTAGCCCCCATTGCATTCCTATTTTATAAGAACAGTATAGGTGCCTTCTGTGTCTGGAGTAGTCTTTTTAAGAGGATTAATGGATTTAATGGAGAAAGGAGGCTCACCTGAAGCATAAGCATTGGCATGGACATGGCTGACTGGCCTGCTTCTTTGTTGTAAATTCTATATAATGCAATGTAATCTGTTCCATGGTGTTGATTGAAGCAGAAATGCAATGTAGGAAGTACACTTTACTCTTCAAGAATTCCATGTGATCTGCTACATATATCTAAACAGGGCCTTGTTTTATCATCACAACTAAAAGATGACCCCTTTGGCAATACTGTCCTCCCTCTGTCTTGCAGTCAACTGTTAACCTAAATTATAGGTACAGGTTCTTGTTTAGGGCTTACACAGGTGCACTGCTGACTTCCGGATAACACTGAGTTAAGCTACACAATTGAAAATGAATTTCTGGCAAAGGCCATATCTTAAGATGTTTATACGATCATAATTCAAGACAAGTTAACAAGTGGGGAATCTCCTTCTGTTGTCAAGGTGTTTGCTATTGCAGATGGAGATTGAATTTTTAACTAAAAGGGAAAATTTTCAGAGCAGTGCAATGGGGAAAAGGTAGGGTTCATTGGACAAATTCGATCGTTCTTTCACCGAGCTGGCACACGTAACATTGGGCTTTCTTTCTGTGCTGCTAAATTCTATGATTCTATAGATGTGTAGTTTGGTAGGTCAATTCATCTTTTCCAAATTATGGTTGAAGTGTACTTCTTATGATGCAGCATTTATTTTAACTGAATTTGAGTTTCACCATAAAATGAATCAATCAACCAAATGACACGTGCTAACTCCTGAATTGTTGGAGGGATTTATACAGCGATACAGCTTTGAGGTAATAATCTGAATATACTATCTGCAGCAGTTCCTCTCACAAAACAAAAATTGGCAATCGTAGCCACAATATCTGAAGAAAATAGAGGATCCTGCCCCAAGGAGGATCTGTAAACTGTGCCCCTTAGTAATTCAAAGCAGCATTGGTACAATTCATGTAGATCCTAAATAAAAACCAAAAGAACTGCGGATGCTGTAAATCAGGAACAAAAACAAAGTTGCTGGAAAAGCTGGAAGAGAAACAAAAACCTGCAGACCTGCTGAGCTTTTCCAGCAACTTTGTTTTTGTTCATGCAGATCCTATGCTGACTAAAGTGAACACAATGAGGCAGGTAGTATCAAACTGGCCAGAAATTAAAAGACTTTTGATTTGACTTCAGTGCATAGGAAATTCAAGTCTGGTGTGTAACAGCTGGCCAACTGAACATTGCCTATTTAACACAATGTTTAACCAAAGCCAAAGTTATCTACAGAAATTCAATGGGAAAGGAAAACCAGACATTTCCCAAAACAATGGGAAAGGGTCACATATGACTATATTAGCTGTAGCTTTTTACAATAAACATGCTGTGAGCCCCCTGACTGTTAATGATTCTAACTTTTACACATAACGCAGTATTGTCATATTTAAATGTCACTGTCCATTGCCATTTGTTTTGCATTGATTTTCATTATCTTAGTGAAAAATTTGCAACATTGGCCAAATATAGATGGAATTTTAATGAGGTACGTTTGGGATTGTATTCGCAAGGGAGTAACTGCTTGCCAGAGGCCAATGTTTGTGCTTTGGAGATTTATCAAGATCTTGCCTTGTAGCTATTAACCTGACACAGCTGTCAAATATTTTGGCTGGAGAGATCAAACGACTTCCATTTCAGTGCTAAAATGAGAGAAACCAGTTCCATCCTCACTCACTATAACCTTTGGACATATCACCAGGATTGTTTATCATTCTTTTCTTGAGGCTATGTAAAATGCTTGGTCCAGATAACTTTTCCAAGATTTTTAAGCAAAGGAAGAGAGAATATTTATTGGTAAAATTTGCATTAAAAATTGAAGTGAGTTTTAATTTTTGTCTACGCAGTTTGTAGTAACTTATAAGTAAAACTGTACAATACACTGATTTGCAACATCATCTCTGCATTACAGCTGCCTATCCTGCTGCCTATGGCCAGATTAGTCAAGCCTTTCCACAGCCACCTCCAATGATACCCCAGCAACAGAGAGAAGGTAAGTTATTCACTATATTTATAACATCAGATAGATTAGCAGAGCAGGTGTTTCATGGACTAAAGCTATATGGTATTTATTCGGCGATCATCATAATTCATGAAAAAGTAAGTGATCATTGACTTACTAAGTGGAGTAAATGTTTTCATGTTTGACTATTCAGTCGATTGGCTTGGATTATGCATCAAGGTAAATCCCAGACCATGCACCATTTCATGCGAGAGTCAATGATATCGACATCTGATGAACAGATAAAACAAAAGAAAAACCATAGTCCAAGAGAGACCATTGGCATCTCTGTATTAGAAAGAACAAATGTATTAGATAGCTATAGGGACACCACTCCACATCAAGCATAGGACAGATGAGGAGGTAGGTCCCAAACCTACCTCAGCGAGAATGCCATTAGACTCATGCTGTTGCCATTACTTTAAATCATATGCTAACTGGTCCCTTTCAAATAACGTTGTGTTCAATTTCTACCTGAAACACTGAAACAGACAGATATAATTTAAGATCTCATCAGCAACATCAAAATAATACGTAATAATAAAAGTAATTCTAATCATAATGAAATCTAATAATCTAATGCTGTGATGGGTTATCAAGTTAGTTTCAAAATTTGTTAGAATCAACAATTTTCTCTGACTCAACACTTAGGCACCGAACTGAGTCAAGTTGGATCTGAATACATTATTCAGACCTCCTGCATATTTTGCTTTGCCAGCCACCTGGTGCATGCTAGACAGCAGAAAATTCAGCCCTTGGTGTCAGTAGAGGGGGTATTGTAATTTAACCCCAATTGCTTTTTTCTAGTCAGGTTATGGGATAGCAATCTGGAGCAGGAACTCTGGCTGATGAAACCCATTGCCAGTCTAACCGAGTTTATTTAACCAAGAAAAGACTGTGATCAAACATGTCATCTTCTGGTCTGTACTAGTTTCACACTTGAGAAGTGCATTTAATATCAGGCCATTAGTTAGATCTAACACAGTGTGGAGCTAGAGAAACACAGCAGGCCAGGCAGCATCAGAGGAGCAGGAAAGCTGACGTTTCGT